ATTCCAGCAATTTAGCTTTCACAAATCACCTGGGATTCAAAGGTCAGGCTGACAGCTAAACATTTTTGTTTGTATAAGTACCTAAGATCACTTACCACCTGCAAAATTCTTGATTTTGCTGACCAGATCATTGGATGGGGATTTTATTGATTACAGCTAGATCATTAGAAAGTTAATGCGCTCAAGCAGGGAGTAGCAAATTCTTAGTTATGTCAGCTACCTAATCATTAACGTAATTATTACTGACGGCCAGACTTCACCAGAGACTGTAAGGAATGTGAGCATGCGTTTCATTTCAGTAAAAGTATTTCCCTTACTTTCCCTCTATCTCAGGTTTTTGTTTAGAAGTAATTCTATGTTCTGGCAACAAGAACTTCATTTTTGTTTGCTTGTTTCCCCCCCCCTTTCTCTAATTCTGTCTACCACCCTCTTTTTTATTCTTTTGAAAATGTTTGGGCCAAATCAGGCAGTATAAAATCTTGGAAGATGAACTTTTTTACTTGCCATTTTTATGTAGTTATTTAACTTATAGCTTGTCTGCTGCTAACTATTACTTTCACTCATTAACGCATTTATTTAGGGAAGGAACCCAGAAAAGGAGGGAAATACAGAACAAGTCAGTGATGGAAATACTGTCCCTACCTGCACATAGTTCTGAGTATAGTCACTTTGAAGAGTCCTGGATATCTCTAGTTCTCTGGCACATGCATTTTTATTTTTTTGCCTTAAGTCATTTTGCTAAAAATCTGGTTTGCTGTATATTATGTGTTATGGAGAAGTGTTACAGTGGCTTGTGGTTATATCAATTAAACATCTGTTTTGTTGACCCTCTGGAGATACCATCTATTATGTGGCTGTCTGCCATGACAAGGGATTAGCATTGACTTCCTATCTTATATTGTTGTGATGCAAGAAGAGTTTTAAATAGCAAGTGGCATAGGAGATGAGACTGGTCTGTTCATGTTCAGTTCTTTAATATGTAGGTCATAACTTCTAACAAGAATTCCAACTGTAATCTTTATAGAATAAAGTCTCATTATTTCTTCTTTTTGTGAAATGAAACTTGTACAGTATAGAGCCAGAATCCTTCCCTCCCTCCATACGAACTTAGGTTTTTTTGTTGTTTTGTTTTGTTTCATATATGAATTAGAGCATTCCATTAACAGGACATATATATCTGCTCATAATTCCCCTTAATCAAAATGAAATGCATTTTGCAAGAAGCAGTGCCATCTGTTTTTGGATAGCAAAGCATATACCCAAAGAGAGAGAGAAATGATACATAGAGAGTGCAAGTTGTCTGTTCCTTCATTCAGGAAACCTCAAAGACTATTATAGGTAAAATAACACACTTGAATTAAAAGCCAGGGTTTATTTTAAAGCATGGTTTATCTCAAAAGTGGTGTGAATACACGTAAACGGGGTTCTTAGTTGCCTTTTTTGTGTGTTTATTTGATTCTTCCTTATTTAGACTAGTTACAAGTTGCTTCTCAACAATTAAGAAAAATCAAATTTCAGCTCCTTACTTGTAGTTTAATTTTCATCATGCTGCCATTCCAGGTAGCTGTGCTAATGCTATGAAGGCATCAGTGTGGACCAGTCAGAATGCAGTGGATATTTACTGACATACGTAACTGTAATTAAAGTAGTTTTTTGTCTCTCAGTCTTGAAATATCTTCTGATTTTGTTCAATCTTCAGGAAGATCTGAGGCTGCAGTGTTGCTGTCTGGCCACCAGATAGAGACTGGAGCTTGCAAAATAGGATTATTTTTTTTTTCTGTCATTGAATGTTCTTTAAAACCAAGAGGGAAATTGTTATTACCCGATGATAAAGAATTTATGAGTGTTACTGTGTAAAATGGATAATGAGAGCTTTGTTCCATAATCCTACATCACCAGGAAAGAACGGAGCAAGAATCTCAAGAAGAATCTTGGAGGAAGAAGAAGGGAATGTTAAAAATTTTGCAGTATAACAAGGGCAGGAAGAAAAGGTCAACTCCCTCTCCTCTCTCACCCAGACTTTCTTAAGAACCCAGAATAGCAAATTAATATCTGTTAAAAAGTTCATATGGGTCAAGTGAGTCCTCAGAAATATATGATTGTCTAAATGCACAGTTAAAAGAACAGTTTTCAGTCAGGATCCTGGCTATGAACAGCATAAGAGGTAGCCTGCAGAGTTTTAATTATTTGTGATTAGGGAACAGCATTAAATTATTATTTTTTCCCCCTAGCATTGAGATTAGATTTTTTTTTCCCTAAGTAAGGAAATTTGACTTCTAAATTAGAAGATAAACACGAACATTTCTTGTACAAATTCCCTTTCCAAGGTAGAGTGATCTTATGTCTGAATTGTTGATCTGAACTAGTGAGTTCTTCTGTCCTGAGGCAGTTTCCTCAAATCTCTAACCTGCCGTACTGGGGACTGTGATGGTCGTATCAGCTTAGGTGGAAGAGTGGTCTCTGCAAGTATTTGTGCACCGGTTTCTTTTCCAGCAAAATCTATGGATGTTACTAAGTTCCAATAATTTCTTTCAATCAAGTTCAGAAATTTAAGAGAAATTCCTGCATTTCACAAGCCTGTGGCAGTGATGGTTGTGATTAGGACTAGATGCTGTTGAGGTGTTTAGTGATGTGGTGCAAAAGAACCAAAAATGATTGTATTTAGGTGTGATTTGTTTCATGATTAACATCTGTTTGACAGATGAGAGGAAGGAACAAAAATATTTCGTAAACGTCAAATAGCTTGTTTAGAAAATTTTAAAACAGACCTTCCTGATGTATACAGAACGGTCACGGGCTTGTAGTCAAAATGAATTAAGGGCTTAATTTCTTAAAGCTGCTGAAAGGAAAGTGATGGTAGGGGGCACATCCAGAAGTGAATGGATTTGAGCAAACATCTAGGACGTACGTGGCTTGGGTCAAAAGTCCCTGAGGAAGGTTTAACTGGATTACATTTTCTCTGAGAAAGTCTCTAATCAGAAAGCCTGGAAGTCAGCAGTCTTGCATGGATGCAGAAACGGTATGTAGACATATTTAGGGTGGTGTACATCAGGACTGTGAGCTGCAGTTCAGGCTCCGCTGAGCCTGTAGCTGTTGGGAGTCCCAGCCTTGCACAGATGCAGTCAGGTTGCTGGCAGCCTCTTGGCTTTTTTGCTCTTTTTAGCTCTTGAGCTCATTGGTCTTCCTTCTGAATCTCTTGTGCTCTCTCTCGTGTTTTTCTTAGGTTATTTCTGTATCTGCTTGTCCACAGGAAGAAGACGCGATCTTAACTTTCTAGTGTGGCACTGTCTGGGTACCTGGGTTCAGATACCCAGACTCTTTATTACATCTGTTTGTGAAAAATTTTCTGGGTCACTTCAACATATTTTATTTATTTTTTGTATTCTTGAGCAAAAAGAAATAAAAAAAAGCTATTTGCACAGCCACAGTCAGAAGTATTAAGCAGTACTGTAAAAGACAGAGGAGCAGTTGTACTTTTCCAGTTCCTTTATTAGTTCAGCAATACTTATGTATAAATCAGTTTCATTATTTTTGTTGACAGCTTATGCTCTTTCCACAGCTCTGCGGGAGGCTGAGTATCAGTTCAGCTGTAATGGGAGGCAGCAGATGAGATTAAGCACTTGGAAGTGAAGAGAGTTATGAGCCTAAGCATGTTTGCTGGTGTGAGATGAGATGATGTGAGATGAGAGCTGGATGGCTGAGTGTGATGGTGTGCATTCGGCTAGACCTCAGCACTGGGTATGAAAAGAGCTTAACATGTGAAACAAGCTGAGTAACCCAACTTGCTGTGTGGTTTCTTGTCATTGGGAAGAGAAGGAACAGAGAGAGGCAGGCTATAGGGGACCAGTCACACCGACTAAACCCCTTGCTCTCTGTCCCAGCTCTCCTTCTGACACTCACTGCGAGACAGAGGGGTTGCTGGAGCTTGTCTAGTGGCACAATTGTGCTGTTAAGTAAGTGTATGTTGAACAGGTTAGCCAGCTTTAGCCAAATTGCATGGTTTCTTTAGAGTTTTCATTTATTTATTTATTTATTTATTTATTTTTCTTCCCTGATGACACTAACTGCCTCTACCTTGACACTTGGAACTTAATCTTTCAGAGATTTCAGACAAATCCCAAGGAGGAATGGATATTGTTTAGTAGATACAGAAGCTACATGGGATGTGTTAGCAAGGAAAAAAGAGGCACACAAATAACTGTTTCACACAGAAGTCCTATCTCTTTAGGAAGCCAATATCAAAAATACACTACTGTTGAAGATGTTCTTGTTTTAAAAGTAGTCAGTGTTAGGAAACACCAATGAGCAACATACACACCTTTTCAGGGGTGTTGTTTAAACTTGGTAGGTATGGTGTTGGTGAGCGTGCTTTAGATTTCTTTGGATTTATTTTAATTTTTTAGACTAATCAAGGCAATATCATTGCCTTGATACTCAAGGCAATATCATTATCATTGCCTTGATAATCAAGGCAATATCATTGCCTTGATACTGCAAAGCATACTAGAACTGAGTTTCTTGGTTTGGAATTTAATGTAGTTTTAATGTGGCAAATTGCCACAGTTCTCCAGAAGGCATACTCGTTAACTTCCACTTGTGGTTTGAATGCTGCTGTACATTAAATACACTTACAGCCCATGTATCAGTCGTGAGTAAAGCAGGAATGTCAGCATGTTACTACTCTGTGTTACCAAATGAGATGTATTTTTAACTAAAGAAGACTGTTTATAGGGATTAAGCCTGTTAGGTATACTGAGAAGAGGTAGGCATCTTGGGATTTATTTATTTATTGTTGAATAAATGTATTAAAAAGTAACTGCACTAAATGTTATTTTCTTTGATTCCTGTATTTGTTTTTCTTTTCTTTGTCAGCTCAAATAAAAAAAGATGTTACAATGAAAAAGCTCATTTCTGTGTAGATTATCTCAATTTGTTGAAGTTATTAAATATAATTGAAGTTGATGCTTATTTCTAATGTATCTAATATTATCATATTACAGAGGCGAATGCCCCAAACTTTCCGTGATCCAGCTACTGCTCCTTTGAGGAAACTCTCCGTAGATTTGATTAAAACATACAAGCATATTAATGAGGTAATGGCTCCAGCTATCTTTGTTTTGTGTATTGATATGAATTTGTTGTTTGAATTATGTTATTAAGTACATTTTCTGTGAATTGTACTGCATCTTCTGCTGCCATTGTTTTGGATTCTTTCTTGCAGAGTGAACTGCTCATTTGACCGTAAATTAAAGAAATTGTACATTATTTTATTAGAGCTTAAAATGACTGCAAAGTACAGAAGTATTTCTATACCTGTTACATTGTGTCCCCAAAAAAAGTTTGTTTCTGTTACATGTAGGACAGTAAAGGAGAGAGAGAATCTAGCCTATTGCCCCCACTCCCTTGTTGCTCCCCCCTGCATCTTGAGTAATATCATTTTTGAAGTTGTTTATTTGAAGGATCCACAATACAAATCACTAACATTTTTGAAATAGAGCTGGCTTGATATAGCTCTGTATTTTCAAAGGTAACTGAGTAAGCAATATACTTTTCATGTTTAGGTTTACTATGCAAAAAAAAAACGGCGGCATCAACAGGGCCAAGGAGATGATTCCAGTCACAAAAAGGAGCGAAAAGTTTACAACGATGGCTATGATGATGATAACTATGACTATATTGTAAAAAATGGGGAGAAGTGGATGGATCGTTATGAAATTGACTCCTTAATAGGCAAAGGATCCTTTGGACAGGTAATGTATATCAGCTGTGCAATCTGTAATTTGTGTGAATGGTAATATGCATATAATTTAAAGTGCCATTCTTATTTCATTTTGAAATTCAGCTGTCTTTTTCTTAATTCTACTATGCTGAAGTGCCTGCTCAAGGCATTTGTATTTTGTGCTGTTTCTTGTTACCACATATAATGTTTGAATATACTTCAGTATATTTAAACTGTTAATGTGCTTTGCAAATGAGCAAATCTTCAGCCTTTTGTCATCATTTCACATTTTTAGCTATTTGTTTTGGGTTTTTGTTTTAAAACAATGGTCTAATGCTAGGGATAACCTATTCTTTGCAGTAAGGTTTGTTTTTACTATTGGTATTTTTTTTCATGTTCTGCAAGTCATTTTACAATATTGTTTTTGTTGATTTACTGCTTGCATTTGGGTACAATACTTGCCTTAGGTCCAGCTCAGTGAAGCCTTTGCTCTGTTTTGCAACGTCACTACAATAAACTCCATGTTATCAGTTGTGGCTTTATTGTAGCATCTAGGAAGAAAATTAACTGGAAAGAACAAAAGTTGTAAAAAAATTCTGTAAATTCTGGTATGTTTAAAAAGGGTTTTGCAGAATTTTGGAAACTGAAGCAGAGAGATGACTTACATGTTTGTCTTTTTTCTTTCAGGTTGTAAAGGCTTATGATCGAGTGGAACAGGAGTGGGTGGCTATAAAAATAATAAAAAATAAGAAAGCTTTCCTAAACCAAGCCCAGATTGAAGTGCGACTGCTTGAGCTTATGAACAAACATGACACTGAGATGAAGTACTATATAGGTATTCAGATATTTTTCTTATTTTTTATTTAATCAAATTATTAGTATTTTAGGTTTTGATATATAGTGTAGGGTGCTGCAACTAATGTTTTTGGTGCTAACAAAATGAAATAATACAACTTTTAATAGTAGTTTTCAGTGTAAATTACCTTGCATAAACAACAGATTGCTTTGCAGCAGGACTAGATTTAGAAGAAAAACGTGTAAAAAGTTTTGGGATAACAGATAATACGAAATAAGTAGTTTTATGGCTAGCTTGTTCATTATTTTTTGATTGTGCTTATTTAAAAAGCTCAACATTTCATGTTACAAAACTGAGATAAAACTTCTGTAATAGTTAAGACTTGCCTGTTCAGATCTCAGAAAATATTTCTAAAGCTTATAATTCTGACTGTTCCTGTAGACTGTCATGCTATTCCATGAGGTTATTATCATAATGCTAATTGAACTTTGTAGTCATGATGAAATAAGTTGGTCAGCTCAGATAAAAAGTTTTTTAAATCCTGTCTGTTCTCTGAAGTGGAGTATTGGGCAAAAATGTGATGGAAGGACAGCATGTTGTAAAGAGAGATAGAAAACTGTGAAAGATAATAATTTAAGAAATGAAATTGATTTTAAACATTTTTATCTTAGTTTGCAGGAGTTGAAATACTAACAACTGTACTCTTCAGGTTTGCATGTATATGTTGGATCACTAATTTTTCTTTCTGCAGTTTGTAAAGAAACCCTTAAAATAATGTTAGTACACATGGCTGTTAAATTATCTGATGACTATTCAGTTACATTTTAACTTTTTAATGGAGTATTATCTTTATAAAACATTTTATGTATACAGTTTAAAAGTTTTTAATGTACTTTTAACTCTATAAGGAACATGCCTATATAAAACAGAAACTAAACTTTGCACCCTACTATATCAAAAAGATATTTCAGGAATGTTAAAGACAGAAGCAGTTTCAGATTAATATGGGGCAAATAAGAAGACTATAGCCATTGCTGAATAAACAAACTCTTGAAGTTTTAGATTTTTAGAAAGTGTATAGCACCACATAAAATGAGATTTGACTAAAACTGTGTATCTAACTGTGTGACTTAACAAGAGATGGTTTAACATAAAGCACAGTATTTAAGCAAAAAAAGAAAGAAAAAAGATAATTTCAAGCAATAGAGAAATGAAATACTGTTTTTGTTTAGCAGACACAACTAACTATAATAGTTATATGTTTGTATCCAGTTGATTTCTGAATCTATTAAGATACATTTCAGTAGTTCCCCTTTTCTTTTTATCACAGTATTTAACAAACACTGGCAGTGTTAGTAAAGGTCAAAAAAAAAAGGCAAAGAGATCATGTTTTGAATGAATACTATATATTGCATGAGATGCCTAAACTGACATCTATAGGTGCTTCACTTTACCGTTGCATAGACTTGCAGGTGCATGGTACTGAGAGTGGTTGAATAATGCTGAAAGCATTGCAAGTATTACAACACAGTGTGTGGTGTAAAATGAAGACTTCAAGATCGGTGTGGTTAAGTTAGGAGACTAGACTGCAGGATACAGATTTTTACCTTGATTTTTAATGACATAAAGTGTAACTGCTTATACTTCTGCTAGGTCTTCTCTAGTAGCTTCTAGAGGAGTGTAAGAATACATTACGGTATTCAAGTTTCAAGGTAGCAGAGCGGAAGATAAACATTCAAATGTGATGGCTTCACTGCAGGAAAGGTTTGGGAAGTTCAGCTCTTACCCAGACTATTTGAGCTGTGTGACACTGCAGGTGGTACTGGTAGAGCTGGCCAAGTAGCTTGCTGGTAGTTGAAAATTAGTCAGAGTACGTAGTGTTTCTTGCCAAGTTGGCAGGTTCAGCAAGGTGCTGTGGGGAGGAAGGGGTGTATGGTGCAGGAGGACCACAAGGACATGAAAAGGTGCTGGTGCTTTTGTGGTGGTAGGGTATTGGAAAATGAGAAAATGCAAAAGGTCTAGACAATGGAAATAGACAGGAATTGGCATCAGGATGGAAGCAAATGATATCATTACAGGTTAGTTGTGAGGGACACGTGAATAACTGGATAATAATAATGAGGAAAATAAAACTCGCTGGGACACCATGTAATTACCTTAACTGAAAGTCTGAATGCTGATTGTGCTAATATTGGTTCAAGATTTTATTGTGACAAAGAGGGGCTGTATTGCTGCTTATCTGAAGATTGCAATGGTTTTTTTTCCTATTTAAATTTTCTTTTGCTTGTGGAGACCAACCTGAATAAGAACCTGGCAAACCCTGCTTGCTTCTAAACAGATGATTTTTTTCACGTATTTCATGAAACTGATTGATTAGACTTGGATTGGGTTTGTTGCTTTCATAATTTTGAAATTATGTCTGGTTGAATATAATGCCTTTGGGATTGTGATTGATTTTATTAATTGAAGTAGTCTATTGAAGTCATGATTTATAAATTGCAATAATATGTTTTAAATTACTCTGGCATTCAAATAATTTCTCTGTAAATGTAAATTTCAAATGTAAAGGGAATTACTAATACAGAATTTAAAGTGTGATATCTGCTTTATTGTTGAGAATGCTGTTGTATGTACACTTTTTTCCAGTCTGCTTGGACTTAAATACAATTTTAGTTTTAGGAGGGTGGAGAAATGAACTCTTCACTGGAAAAAGCCCAAAGTCTCGTGATTAAGATTGTTTCGCGCACAATTTGTACTGCTGCTTGTCTTTTTTGCTGATGTTTTTACTTAGAAAGGGCTGTTGCTAATTTATTGAAGACAGAGATTAGTTGTGAATATCACTGTAGTTCTCCACTTAATCTGAATTTAATGTTGTTTGGAATTCTATGTTATTTTTATTTACCACGATTTTTTTTTGCCTTTGCTAATAGGGGACTGATATATTCATTTTGAAAAATCTCTCTTCTATATTTTAAATCATTTTTTTTGGTAAATGTAGCTTTACCGAGTTACACCTGAGGACACTTCAGATACATGAAAAAATCCAACAACCCATACCCTGGGCATAGCAGAAATGCTTTATAAATAATAATAGATCTAGAAAAAAACCAACACAATATTATCTTACAGGTCAATCTCCTGCATATTGACTGAAATATTTAAGCTTTGTATTGTAATTTGTATGTAATACGTACCACACAGCATATGTATTAACCATTTTCTTCTCTTTTTAAAGTGCATTTGAAGCGCCACTTCATGTTCCGAAACCATCTCTGCTTAGTCTTTGAAATGCTGTCCTACAATCTGTATGATCTGTTGCGGAACACCAACTTCAGAGGTGTCTCATTGAATCTGACAAGAAAATTTGCACAGCAAATGTGCACTGCACTGCTTTTTCTGGCGACTCCTGAACTTAGTATCATTCACTGTGACCTAAAACCTGAGAATATCCTGCTCTGTAACCCCAAACGAAGCGCCATCAAGATTGTTGATTTTGGCAGTTCATGTCAACTTGGACAGAGGGTGCGTATTGGTAGAAATTCTAATTAAGCTGTTACTGGATACATGTGATAAACTTTCCATCTTTCTTTTCTCCTTGATTATATTTTTATGCGATATTAATGCAAGTTGCATCATCACTTGATTGTAGAGGTCTGCAGTGGTGCAGTGCTCTCAAATATAGTACTTCTTTATTATTTTCTTATCCCATGATGCATTTAGTTTCTTCCAGTTTAAGATGTTACCTGTTTAGAGTGCCATGGAGATAAGACACTATCTGTGAGTTGAGACAGTATAGTATTTGGCTCTTAAAGATACTGCTTATAACTAACCCCATTTTTACAAACACTTTAGTAAAACTGTGGGAAGATTGGATTGAGTTCACTGGTGTTACCACTATGAGTAAAGATGCACACATGTGAAGTGTTTCCAGGACAAATTGTTTTCTTTATATTAGGGTAGATTTAGCCTAATCAATAACTGTCCGACATACTTGTATTTGTATCCCGTTGTTTATGTGCATTGAGGATGAGTGTGTTTTTTATTTGAGCTGTTAGTTTCTGTCTACCATAGTCAACTAGCTCTGTATTTACTTCAAGAAACATTAAAGTACATACAACAGCTATTAAAACCATAAGCAATTATGCTTGGATGCCAAAGACGGGATTCTTTAGGAAGAAGAATCGTATTCCTCAAATGTTTAATTTGCACTGACAGTTCATTGAAAAGTTCATCAGGACATACAGTTCATTGTGCACTGTATAGTCTAATAATACCAATAGACACATTTTTGGTTGAATGAATCCTATTTTTGATGGAATGATCGATCACCAGTATTTAGGGTACCTTAGCTTTATTTGTTTGCACTGAATACAAATTGTTAGCTAGAGAGGTAAAGAAACTTCTGTAGACAGAAATTAGACTTCCACTTTTTTTTTTTTTCTTTTTTTTTTTTTCTTCCTTGAAAAGATGCTTTTAAACCTTGCCAGGTCAGCTGTGTGCCTGTGGTGGTTTTATCTATAAATTTATGAATGATAATCCTTGATATTCTTTTGCTTTGAGAAAACTGGGTATTAAACAAACAAACAAAACACCTGCTAAATCAGACTTGCTGTAAATCTGCAACAATTGCAAAAGAGATGTCAGTTCAAGAAATATGAATAGTAATAATGAAGATGATATCACTTTATGAAGAGAATTAAAAACTTCATGGATTGACTGAGTAGAAAGTAGTGAGGCACAAATTTAGGATTAATACAATTCATTTTCTCTATTAAGTAGAGATATCTGAGTCTAGGAAGAAAATGAAGGGAAGACAAATGAGATCTAGATTGTATAGGTCAATAATAAGATAATTTTGAAGTGCTAGGAAGCACAATTAAAAAAAACCTTTGTGCAATTTCACAGAAAAGTTAACTTAAATGGAAGTAAGTAAACATTGGCACCTTTGTGGAAAGTGCTTGATAAAATTTTGTGTTAATTAAAATATAAAGTACAGTTCTGTTAGGAATATTTTCTTTGGTTGCTTTCTTTTTAAGGGTTTTGGAGGTGTGTTTTTTTTTTTTTTTTTTTTTTTTTAAAGATCTTTCTGTTTTGTTTGTTTTGCTTTGTTTCTTTTTGTTTATGCTTATGTTTAAGCCAGTCTTCAGATCTATGATCAAGACTGAAATTTCTGACTTGTGAAATGAGCTGGATAGTTGGGGGTGATTCCAGCTGGAATCACCTGGTAATTTCATTTCATGACAACAAAATTGTTGATTTTGATTTTTTTTTTAATTGTTGGTTTTGTCTGAAGTGTTATGTGATTCTGATGTGGCTTCTGGAATAGTTTTTATTTGAACGTTACCAGACGAAAATTTTGTTGTACAATTATCTGTAATTGCATGAGATTACACTCATCAACTGTAAAGTGTTGTAATTGTGAGTGAATTTGCACTTTTTTTTTGTGAGCAAGAGTTAGTATTTTTCTACTAATTAACATTTAAATATTTTTTATAAATTTGTAATATGCTTTTAGTATCACTAATACCTTGTCTTTGCTTTCCCCACAATGAAAGTGTATTTTACTGTAATTCTGTTTCGTAATACAGAACCATAATAATGCTTTTTGGATGCTGTGTATTATCTTCAAATGCTTTTATTTCAGATATACCAATATATCCAGAGTCGTTTTTATCGATCACCAGAGGTGCTACTGGGAATGCCTTATGATCTTGCAATTGATATGTGGTCCCTTGGGTGTATTTTAGTTGAGATGCACACTGGAGAGCCTCTTTTTAGTGGGGCAAATGAGGTATGCAGCTATTATACAGTACAAGTAATTTGATCTTTTTTGTTCATTCTGATAATGATACTCATCTGTTATTATAATGGTTAAATTAGGGAAGTCTAATAATTCTAAAATTCATAAACATCAGTAATAGCAATGTCTTTTGTTAGAATTCTAAATTGCCTGGTAATAACTTTATGTTTCTGGGTTTACTTCTACCCTGATCTTCCCCACAGCTCCTTGTTCACTAATTTATTTAGTTAATATTGAATTTTTATTAAACTTGAAATTAATTCAGAACTTAACTGGTGTGGGTAGTTAACATATGCTACCCACGTGACTGTAGAATATTGGACTCTATTGCAGTACTCATCTATATGTCCCATGTTATTCATAAATATTCTTCCTGTGGAACAGGTGGATCAAATGAATAAAATAGTGGAAGTTTTGGGGATACCGCCTGCCCATATCCTTGACCAAGCACCAAAAGCAAGGAAGTTCTTTGAGAAGTTGCCAGATGGCACGTGGAACTTGAAGAAGACCAAAGATGGAAAAAGGGTAGGTTATATAATTAGGATGACAGCATGGGCTATCCCTTTAAAAAGAATAAATTAAAAAATGGTGAGATATTACTTTGATTTACATTGTCTTACTAAAAATGTAGCTTTATTGTTACTGATTATTTTTCTGAGTTGTAAGACGGGTTGATTAAGTAACACTTTCTATAGTGTTGAATAGTTTCTTCCTTTGATTCGACTGCTTCACTTTTATGGCGTGTTTAAAGTACGCACATCCAAGGCTTAGTGTGTAACTTGATTTCAATTAATTTCTAATTTCTTTACAGGAATACAAACCACCTGGAACTCGTAAGCTTCATAATATACTAGGAGTTGAAACAGGAGGACCAGGTGGACGTCGTGCTGGGGAATCGGGTCATACTGTAGCTGACTACTTGAAGTTCAAAGACCTCATCTTAAGGATGCTTGATTATGACCCTAAGACACGAATTCAACCTTACTATGCCCTACAGCATAGTTTCTTTAAGAAAACGGCAGACGAAGGTACCAACACAAGCAACAGTGTGTCTACGAGTCCTGCCATGGAGCAGTCACAGTCTTCAGGAACCACCTCTAGTACATCTTCAAGCTCAGGTGAGGTTTTCTTACTAAATTATATTTCCTAATCGTGTCGAAGGAGTCTGTCCCAGATGACAGAGTTTTGTTTGGCATTTGTTTCTTGGCCGGATCAAGTAATTGCTCCAATGAAAAGCAGATTTATAAGTAGATTTACAAAAATTTGAGTGATAGGTCCTCTATTTTTTATCTTGAAGCTATTTAAATTTTAATGCCATCATTGTTCTACAGCTTACTGTAAATTTTATATCTCTTGTGTTGCTGTGACTTTATAGGTGGATCTTCTGGGACAAGCAACAGTGGAAGGGCACGGTCAGACCCCACACACCAGCATCGACATAGTGGTGGACACTTCACTGCTGCTGTTCAAGCTATGGACTGTGAAACACACAGCCCACAGGTATGCACAAGTAGAGCTTTGTCTGATTTATACGTTTTTTTCTGAGAACATTAAATCCCTAAAAATAGTAGTATTAGGTTTAAATGGCGAGGTTTTGGAACCAGAGAGGTGTAGGGGTGGCCTCTGTGAGCAGAGCCCAGCAGCTGCCCCATGTCAGAGCAGAGCCAGCTCCAGCCGTCTCCAAAAGGGACCTGCTGCTGGCTAGAGCTGAAACAGGGAGTGACACTGGGTGGGCCTCTGGGAGAGCACGTTGAAGAAAGGGGAGGGAGTAGGGAAAGTTGCACAACAGCAGCTGGGAGAGAGAGCTGAGAAAATGTAGAAATAACCCTGCAGTCCCCAAGGTCACTGCAGCAGGAAGGCAGGAGGTGCTCCAGGTACAGAGCAGCAGTTCCTGTGCGGCCTATGGAGAGGCCCCTGGTGGAGCAGGCTGTCCCCCTGCAGCCCATGGGTCCCACATGGAGCAGATCTCCATGCTGCAGCCCCCCCGTGGACGAGCCCCCGGTGGAGCAGGTGGATGTGGCCTAGAGGAGGCTGCAGCCCATGGAGAGCCCCCACAGTAGCACACTCGTGTTGTGTAGTCTCCTTCTTGGGTAGTCCTTTGTATGTTAGGTCATTCACTTAGTCAAAAGTACTGTAGGTAGCTGTAAAAATTTCCAATAAATTCTGTGGATGCAAAGGTTTTGTATGAGTTGCAACATGCCAGATGGGCCTGTCACCTTATACAGGGCATAAGGGTACACAGAACTACGTATCTTCCAACCCAACAAGTCTAGCTTGTACTTCAGTGAACTCCTGTGCAAGTTCTTACTTCCATTTCACCATGTTCATATGCTTCACCAACATTATGGTTGGTGAATTATGAACTTTATTAGCTACAAATGATTCAGTAATTTCATTTTCTTAATACAGATTAGTGGTAGTGCTAGGTTAATGGTTGGATGTGATGATCATGGAGGTCTTTTCCAACCTAAATGATTCTATGATTCCATTCTATTCCGTTCTATTGTATATTACCGTAATTTGTTCCTGGAAGAGCATTAACCGAAATGTTGTAGTGATTTACCCTTTCTGTTCATCCCTTTTAAAGTTGTAGAATCCTTTTTACAGGCATTAAGCGGTAGCCACTATGCATTACAGTCATGAAAAGAAGAGAATATCATACATGCTTCTTTGGAACTGACAATTTCTTCTTCTCCCAAGTAGACAATTTAGTTTATTCAACAAATGGCTGTGTAGCTAGATCTTGCTACTTTAATAATCTTTAATCAGCAGTGTTCTTCCAGAGGTGTGGGTAGTACTCCTCTAATAGTGTTGATAGTGTTCAATATATGAACTGCAACATATTAATTTAGCATGCTAAATGTATCCAGAGGCCCTAGTCACAGATTAAAGCCTTAATGTTTGTACAACACCTAGAACCAATGTGTTGTTTAAAGCTGCTTCTTTAATTTGGTAGTAAGGTCACGTATTGGACTTTCTTTAACCATTTATTTGGAAAAAAAAACAGAATGCAACCTTTTTTTGAAGCTATATGTAGAAACATGCTCTTTAACTACCTAATTATATTTCTAGACTAATTTTGAAACTGCAAGGATTGGTTAACCGATTCAAAAGTTAGCGGAAACATTAATAGCTTAATGTCTCTCAGAAATGGATAGACTTGTTTAATCGTTCCACTTTTTGTTTCGCCTGTTAACATAGGTTCGACAACAGTTTCCTCCTCCAATTGGTTGGACAGCCACTGAAGCTCCTACACAGGTCACTGTTGAAAACCATCCAGTTCAAGAAACCACCTTCCATGTAACCCCTCAACAACAGAATGCATTACATCATCATCACGGAAATAGCTCTCACCACCACCATCACCACCACCACCACCACCACCATCATGGACAGCAAGCCTTGGGTAGCCGGACCAGGCCAAGGGTCTACAATTCTCCAACAAACAGCTCCTCCACCCAGGATTCTATGGAGGTGGGCCACAGTCACCACTCCATGACATCCCTGTCTTCCTCAACTACTTCTTCCTCTACATCTTCCTCCTCTACTGGTAACCAAGGCAATCAGGCCTATCAGAACCGCCCAGTGGCTGCTAATACCTTGGACTTTGGACAAAATGGAGCTATGGACATGAATTTAACAGTCTACTCTAATCCACGCCAAGAAACTGGCATAGCTGGACATCCAACGTACCAGTTTTCTGCTAATACAGGTCCTGCTCATTACATGACTGAAGGACACCTTGCAATGAGGCAAGGAATTGATAGAGAAGAGTCTCCCATGACAGGAGTTTGTGTTCAGCAAAGTCCTGTGGCTAGCTCGTGACTAAACTGAAACTAAGTTTGTTTCTTGTGTGTTTTTATAGAAGTGGTGTTTTTCCAAAAACAAAGTGCAAAGCTGCTTGAATCAGAAGGAGATAAACTCACTGAACCGCTACAGGAGGGCAAAGCTGACTATTTTTTTAGACTTGAAAAGATTGCAAAGGGACAATGAAGTTTTTTTTTTTTTTTTTTTTTTTTTTTAAGAGCCATGTCCGGACCCACCTTAATGAATAGCTTAGTGGTGTTCACCTTTTGCTTCCCCCATTTTAACTTGCCACAACCTAGTCATAGTTTGTTTTTTGGGGGGAGGGTGTTTTTTTTTTTTCTGTCTCATTCAACAGGGGGCTATTGTTAAAATGTTGGCTGTAGTTGCAAACTAGTTTCTTTTTAAAGACATTGCACATGATTTATAAAAGGCCCTTTGAAGATTTTGGGTGGGAGGGGAGTGAGTAATATATATATACATATATTTTTTTTTAGTTCCCCAAACAAACATGGGCACAGAAACGCAGTACTGTAAGGAAGAGGGACCTTCAGATTACACAAATATATATCCTTCAGTTGTAAAAAGGGACGGTTGTAATGGAGTTTGTAAGGCACATTAAGCATGCTAAGTGGCGGTGATCAGAACTCTCCTTATCTGAATCTACTGAGGATCAAAGCAGCAATTGTAATGGGATTCTGTGCGTCTCATATTTTGGAGACCACAGTCAGTTAGTATTGAAATATGACTGGTTTCATAACTAAGGTGCACTGAGAAGCAATCAACGGGTCGGTCCTGGCCAGTCGTGGGGAGGTCTAAGTGGTGGTCTTTGGGAAAACCTTTGGCCTTATGGATTTGGACTCTTAAGTTAGAAGAGCCTACCATTTCAGATGCAATCACTTTTGGACATGCTTTTGCAGACAGTCCTTAATGCTGAAAACACAGAGAATGGGTAATTCAAGAGGCCTTTCTTTTAAAATAGACTTTTGTGACCCACTTATTGTAAGGTATTGCAAGGTCACTTTGCGTGTGTCATAAAGTTGACTTCCTTATTGGTTGAAGGTCACAGGAGTAGTGGTTTGCGTTTGATGGAAATAGCTACAACTGTGTCCCTTCCTGCTTTTTACTTTTTTCTTTTGCTTTTTCTTGGCACGTGGTTTCTCCACCATTACTTCTGCACAAAGACGTCTTCTGTTCATCCTGAACATTTTTAAAAATGCAGAATTTTATGTGACTGCTTTTTTGCCTCACAATTATGCTGTGAATTTTACAAAAATTTATTTTCTTTTTTGATAATTTATTGTACCAAAGCTGTTTTTATAGCACATAGATGTCTGTAACCAATAATGTAGCAGTTCTGCACTTTGACACAAGGTGTAACTAGACCATTTTTAAATGTCAGTTGAGAATTATGGCTGTACTATTGCTTAAACAAAACTGGAACTGTTGTTGAATTCATAGCCAATACATTTACAGCAATCTGTGTACTGAACATAATAGATTGACATCTACTTCAAGACTATAACATCTGTTACGTTATAAATGTGTTCAGGCTTCTGAAGGTAAAAGGGACACTAGATCCAGAAGCTATGAAACCAGCAGTTGATTCTTGTATTCCTTATTAACATAATTGTAAACTTGAAGGCAAGACCTTGATTGCATGAACAGGTCCAAAACAATAGTCTGAGTAAAGCAAGACACTCACATGAGACCTGAGGTTAGCAGGCTGTATTTAACAGGTGCCTAATTTTTGGGTAATGCTGCCTTAATATAACACAGTCAGCTTGGCAGTTGCGAAATTTATGGGCCCATTCAGAGATTTAGTTGTATAAATAAAAGCTCAGTGAAAACCACCTGAAAGAACGTGGGCAATTCAGTGACTGCCCATCCCAGATTAACACTGTTTGCCCATTATATATTACAGAAGCAGTGATCTACCTCTGCCAGTAAGCCCTTTTAAAAGTTAATTCAGCAGAAAATTCAGAGTTCACACTGGTCAGTTCCACGTGGCTAAGTAATTTTTTTCAGACTAAAAGGTGGACTTTTTAATATATTTACAGTGGCAACACAGCAGCTGGCTACCATGTAGATGGGAATGAATACTTGGGATTACCATTTTTTTTGTAAATCACTTTTTTTTTTTTTCTTAAATCAAGTGATCCATATTTCTTTTGTATCGACATGTCAACCCTGTGGATGAAAGTGTTTTTTTTTTTTTTCCTGTTTCTTTTCTTTTTTTCTTAAACTCAGTAATTCAAAGAAGTTTACAGGAATTGGAAGGATGTCACCTTAAAAACAGGATGCTGAGTTCAGCAATATACAAAGGAATCCAGTACTTGCTGCTGTCTAGGAATATAAGGGTAATACGAAATCTGGGTAATTTTTGTGTGCGTGGGTTGCCACACCTTAGCAAGCGCCAAAAATGAAGCAGTTTAAAAAAATATCTACATAAAGAAGAAACCACAAAATCCAGTGCTTCTGCATACTGTGTTATGTTACAGTCCAGTTTTGTGTGCTTTACTACACAGTTTGGTTACAGGACTTCTGTGCATTGTAAACATAAACAGCATGGAAAAGGTTAAATACCTGTGTTCAGATTGTAAGATCTAGTCCGGACTTGCTGTGTATATTGTAACGTTAAATGAAAAAGACAAGCCCTTTGTATTATAGTCATGCAGTCTTATGTATGATAAACAGTTGAATAATTTGTCCTCAGACTCTTTACTGTGCTTTTTGAAAAAAAGAGTAATTTAAGAAAAGAAATGTAAACATAGTAAATCTTCCTATGCAATTAACCTACTCCAAGCCATGGTATGGTAGGTATGATTATACTATAATATGTAAATATCAGATACATTGAAACAGACTTAAAAATATGAAAGTAAAAGTTGGAGGCGTAATGGATAATTTTGAGTTTTTAATTGAAACAGCAAGGTATACAAATCATTGATGTATGAACACAGCTCTGCTTGATTCTGTTTGACTGTATTTGTAGTTTGAGTTGTTTATATTATCATCTGTTAGTTTGAATGTTCTTATACGCACTGCAGCTTTCTACCTAATACAGACTAGCTGATTTTAAGGCCAGAAGTGACCATGGTAATGAAATAATCTGACTGGCATGCCATTCATTATCTCTAGGATTCAACCTAGTTATTTTTGCATCATGAAGTCTGTATCTTTTGGGTGCAATAGAACATGCTTTTTAAAAAAGATAGCCAGTTTCCATATAGGTTCTTCAAGCGTGAGGATTTCTCCATGTCTCCTGAGTGATTCAGCTAGTTCATTTTCCATGCTCGTAGTCCTCCTTTGGTTTCGGAACTGTTTAGTTACAGCTGCTGGCCACCGGATAGGTAGCCGCCTATTAGAAGAACTAATAACTACTCTAGGTTTAAACTCTTTCACTTTATTCACATAAAAATATGTTAACTTTAATAACCTATGTAGATGGAGTTCCTTATATCTCTAACTGTAAAGCTTTTACGGCTCTTCTGAAACTTCAGATGTTTTCAAATCCATTCTAACGCGTGGACGTGAGAACTGCATACAGCATTCTGGTAGTAACTTCGGTATTGCTGTGTGCGTGTAGTATGTGCAGGTACATTCTTGAACCTTTCAGTTTATATCTTTGCTTGTTTGTTTATACCTCCAAGGATTGCATTTTAAAATCTTTCAGTCTCAGTTATTTGCATTAAAAGATTGTAAATTTTAGATGATTATCCATCATGATTCCTAAGTCCTTTTCAGAACTGCTGCTCTTCCAGGATGTAGTCTTCCATCCTGTAAGTATAATGATGTCTGAATGGGACTGGTTTACGGAAGGGTTGGATTCACCTATAGATGTGACTTGTCTCTGTTGTTTATCACTCTACCATCATCTTCATTAAACCATCGATAAGCTTATATTTTATTAACTGAAAAATCTTAAACTGCTTTGAAGATAAATCCTGTCAAAACATACCTTTTTAACGAGGGAGTTATCTAAATCCATAACTTTCTGACACAGAGTGTTTAGTATGTTCTGTGTTGATTTATAGATCAAATTATGTTTCAATAAGATTGTTGTATGGAACTTCGAACTAGTATGGAAGTATCTTTCCAGTTAAAATGGCACGAGTAACTAACTACAAAGTAGAGTTATTGCTGAGAATTGATCTCATGAGGATAGTTTGTATGTGATCCAGCATGACTGTGGCGAGTGATGTATTTTTATTTAGAAGAGTGGATATTAGAATTGTGCAATGTCTTATGGCTGCCAAGCAAAGAAAGATGCCTTGCCAAATTGTAGTTTCCTGTTATATATCCCTGTTTCTTTTTTTTTTTTTTTCATTCTATATAAGCAACCTCTTGTTGAAAACTTTGAAATTGGGATTTATTTCTCCACCTCGCAGTGACAGTTTAACTATTTGTTCCCTGTTGATTAAGATGCCTTGTTTTTATTTCAGCAATTTTCCGTATTAGCCTTATGAAATATATATGATCTGCCTAGACCCGAGAGGATATGCACTTTCTGTTGTTTATCATGTTTTATGCTAGATGTTAACAAAGCATCACCGAGTTCAATCACAAAACAGTCACTGTGACTATCCTGGAGAACCTGAATGATGCGAGGATGTGATATGCTTCATAACCAGACAAAGGTGGAAGTTAAAATTGTGCACTTGAGGCTCCTCAGCTGAATGGCAGAGAGAGAATTCAATCACTTCAATCAATGTTCAGAGGTCCTAGAGGGAAAATGAGTCTTCATCAGGGATTTGATTTAGAAGAGGGTAAGTGTTAGAATTGAAAGGTTGTTCTGTGTGGAAGGGAGCCTAAACAAGATGGGTAATAGCACAGGGAGGGGAGAGGAATACCTTTAGCTAGAGAGGAATGGTGCAGACCTTAACTGAAAGTGACTGACACTTTTTTTTTTTAATGCAGATCTTGTATTAGGAAGGCATGTGAGGGAACCTAAAGGAAGAACTTTATGGCCATGATGAGTGAAGATTAACACTTCCACTTGAGTGGAAAAGACTTTTGTCACAAAAGTTTGGATTCCAGTAGTTAAAGTGAGTTATGAGAGTGTAGGTGTGTATTTTGTTGCAAGGTAGGTTTGAATCCAAACTGTTAATCAAGTCACTAGTTCACAGAAATGAAAGATGAGATGAGTTTGCTATAATTAAGAAAGGGTAAATTGAAGAAGAAGAACTTGGTTTCTGACATCAGACCAAATGAGGATATGGTAGACGGAACAGGCTGGCAGAAGCAGCAGTAGTGGAAAGAGTGGGTTGTCAGCATGGAGGCATCTGGCAGTTTTTTAATTCATTTACTAACGAAGGCTGAAATGTATACATTTAAAATGTGCTGAAAACAGCTGAGACCTTAAAAGAGGCAGATCACAACACTTGTTAAAATTTCTAGGACTGTAGGGGAAAAAAAAAAAAAAAGCAGTGTATGTTGCTGAGTGACTGATTATGAAAAATTGATTTGTGTTTAGTAGGGTAAGAGTGGAAGTGAGGCTGACCAAAGACATCCTAAATAAAAAAAATATATATAAAATATTGCCACGGAGTAGGAAGGGCACGAGGATCTCCCAGTGTTTGTACTTATGTCCTGAAGGTGTTTTATGTGGATCCAGCTTAGGTCCTCATTCCAAAGGCAAGACCTCCTTTGTTTCACGACAAGCAATTTTTCCTCAGAGGCACATTGCAAAGCATCACAACTGAATAATGATAAACAGTGTCACAGGAAAAAGCTGCAAACCTCAAATATCAAATTATCATGGCAAGAAAAACAGCCCCAGTTGTTTTGGTCTAACAGAAATATACACTTTTTTTTTTTTTTTAATTAGGGCTAATAATAATCTTACTGATAAGACAAAAGACCATTACAGTAGAAATGTCCTAAGTCCTTTCAGGAACGTTGTATTGGAGAATTTGGCTTTTTAAACAAAATTCCAAGAACCCTAAAGAGCAGATGCATCCTGAGGCAAGTTGGTCTGAATTTCAGTAGGGCCAGTACTGACAACCCCCCCTGCAGATCACGCTTTTCGGACAATAGAATGTAATGTGGCTTTAGGTGAACAAGGCAATGCAATTAAACTTCTTATGTAGTACACTGGGATTCTCTTTTCTTTCCTCTATGTCTTCGTAAGATTCACTTCTCATCTCTGGTAAGTAGGGCCGCATCCAGCTCTTGGTCTTTTAAGCACTTCATAGGAGCAGCTTCAAGAGGAATTTGATTTCTGCTTCCCACTGGAAATGCAAACTCCAGAACCCTGAAATACAATTGTCATGATGTCTGGGCATATGTTTCAGTTATAAGGGCGTTATATTTTCTAGAACACCACATCTTAATTGACAAGCTTAGCTTAAAGCTGTTCAGTTAACAAAAAGCAAAAATGTTTTGTCATTTTGCTTCTGTCATCGTTTTGCATGCAAACAGACAAGCCTCACGGAATTGCCACATGTACCATCAGGCAGCATTGCAGCCTCTCTTAGAGACATGCTGGTCTCCAATGCAAATGCTCTTTATAGTGTATATACAGTGTTCTCTTGAATACATCAGCTATTTGGCTTCTTTGTTTGTGCAGTCCCCTTCTGGAGCCTGCCACAAAACTTTCTGTGAAGACGTTTTTTGCTGGTGGAGCAATGGATGAATGGATGAATTCCTTCTAGAGGAAAAAAAAAAAGTCTAAATGATTGTTTTATTTTATTTTTTACATCATGTATGCTTTACATTTTAGGGTTTTGTACAGATACCACCATTTTAAATTCAAAGCATTTTGTTACAGGGTGTTGAAGGTTGCCATGTTTGACTGTAGGACACACTTGTTGTCTTAACATGTCGACATCACGTTTTTCCATTAGTTTTTCTGCATAGTGCCAGCCAGTTCTCACTGCTTGAGGCAATGGTATGGAAGTAACTTATAGTTTTGAAGACCTGGCTTGGCGGCTTGCTTTTTTGGGTATTGGAAAAGAAGTTCTGGCTCTGGTAATGCTGTGCAGACTTTCTGTAGTGTGTGTGTAAAGAAATTTGACTTAATTTTCAAGACAATCCACAGACTAGTCCTTAAAACTTTACTGAAGGATGAGGAAAGGGTTAAAAACACTTTCCCAAATCCAGTTTTGTGTTATAAGTGTAAATCTGATCATCAAAAGAGAGTGAAGAGATGAGTCTTACTGAGCATTAGCTTGAGTCTGGCAAAGTCTGATGAATTGTAAGAATTTCTTCAAATTTCACATCTTCTGGGTATTCCACGTGGTCCTGTGTAATAAAAAGAACAGTAGCACAGTCGAAAGCAATAACCAAATCCACCTCCTGTAGCTCTGCCCATGACAAGTGGGAGAAAAGGAGATTAGTGCGACAGATGTCGACTGTCAAAAGACAATAAATTGGTTAGGGACTGGAAGATGATGTGCGGAAAAATAAAAGCAGAGTTAGTTTGCTCTGAAGCAAGCAGTTGCAGATGTAAAGCAGAAAAACTCTTCACCCAGACTGTCTTCTCCAGAATCTCTTCATACCACCTCCTGCAGTGCCTCAATGCCTCTCCTTGAGGTTTTCCTGCCAACCTGGAGCTCATTCAGCATGTTTCCCAGCATAAAACATCAGCTGCTGATAGGTGGAGTCAATCTTTTTGAGACTGCAAGGATGAAGATAGAGGAGTTTTTACAAGCAGGCAAAAAGGCTAGTCCTGAATGCAGCACGTCCTGAGCTATTCTGTATGTTCAGTGCAACAAACTCCTTCATTTTTTGCACCTGCAGAAAACTTTCAGAGCCCCTAGGGTTGAAACCAAACTGAGTAAATTTAGTGTTAAAAAGCTTCAGTCCACTTCTTGTCTGCTTTCCCAGTCTAGGGCTGGCACAGTGTAGTTCCTGTGGGGTTCCTTCTCTTTGCTACGATGTGCCAGAGCACCAGGCACTTCTATTTTCAGCTGAATCAGTCTCCTGCCTGTCTAAAATGTTTCCTTTGTTTATGAAGTAATTTTATCACTATTTTATTTTATTTTATTTTATTTTATTTTATTTTATTTTATTTTATTTTATTTTATTTTATATTTTATTTTTTCACTAGGGTAGTATTTCTTCCAAGAAAAATGCTGTACATGGAT